TCTTCTCGTCCTCGACTCCGATGCCTCCTCCGCTACCGTACTCAGCGTCGGAGGAGCTGCAACTGGCTTGATCCCTTCCGAACACGAGGAGGCCGTGATTGGATTTGACATCGTAATTATTTTGAACTTGGTTTGGATTGACAATAAAGGTTTGATCTTGAGAGGTGTTATTGTTGGTGGAGATCAAATTTGTGGGGTTTAGAAGAGTGGATGAGAATGAGATGGTGTCTAATAAAGTGGAAAACGTCCCATTAGGGTTTGGGAAGCTTGGGAAGTTGCTATGATCTGAGTATGAAGATGGTGATGAAGATGAAGATGATGATGAATTTGTTGAGGAAATTTGAAGAAAATGGGAAAGCAATCCATGTGGGGTTGTGTTTTGAGACGAGACGTTGTTTGTACCTATTAGTTTCTTCTTCAATTTCGTATTCCAGTAGTTTTTTATATCGTTGTCTGTTCTTCCCGGTAGTTGTGTTGCAATTACTGACCACCTATACACATTCAAAATCGACATCAAAGCGTGAATCTAAACACAACTCATATTCATTTGAATTATTCGTTCGGGATCATAACCAAAAAATACCTGCTTCCAATGGTAGTAAAGAGATGGTAAATGATTCGATCTTCGTCCTCAGAAAAATCTCCATGTTTGATATCAGGTCTCAAATAATTCAACCACCTCAATCTACAACTTTTCCCACATCTCTTCAAACCTATCGAACACCGTGATTAACACAAACATGAGCATAATTTAATTGATTTCGAACATGTTTCTTCGATTTGATCGGTAAAGTTCGAATCTTTGACGAACTTTTTCAAAACCCAGATGAAAAAAACGAAGAGAGAGAGAGAGAGAGAGAGAGATTAATACCAGCTTTTTGTGGGAGAGAGATCCAATTTCCTCCAGTTCCATGTTTTTGAATATAGTGTTTAAGCTTTGCATCTTCTTCAGGGGACCATGGCCCTCTCTTCACATTAGCTTTATCACAGCATGGAGTTCTTCCCATCTTTCTCTCTCTAAATTTACAACCCACAAACAGAGAGAGAGAGAGAGATTTGATGTTATTAATGTTTCAAAAAGACAAGACTCTTCCTTCTCTTATTGTGAAAGAGATCAGCACACAAGTCAACAAAATTTTAAAAATTTTAAAAAATCACCCTCAATTTTTCAATAATTTATCTCTCTCTCACATAAATGAACGTTTTTTGTGACACCCAAGTAAAAGAAAGATTCATGAACGAATCGAGGCCACGTCTGAATGAGAGTACTTTTTTTAAGATGCATGTGAGTAAGAACAAAACATGTCAGAAAGACACGTTTTTTTTTTGTGGGTTATTCTTCATCTTTAAAAAGTGACCATGTTACCGGATAATGATATTGAATCTGGACTGGACGGTGTGTTTTGAAAGAGAATCCAAAGAAAAAAAAAATGGAAAATAGAGAAGCACGTTGAGGATGATGGGATGTTGGGATTTAAAAATATTTGGAGCATTAAATTTATTTGGTTAGAAAAAGATGGAATTGGGTTGATTATTTAATTTAATTTTGGGGTGGTCCAATTAAATGATATTTGTCTCTTTGTCACACCTATATAATATATTCCCTAGCTAGCTAAAAAGCTTGATATATATTTATTAATTGTGTGGGGAATACTTATACTTAATTATTGTTCATGCAATGTATTTATTCCTTTTATTTTATTTCTTTTGTATTATATTATTCACGATAAAATGCCAGTTTTTCCTCGTTGTTTATTTTGTGTCCTTTTCTATATGCCAACCTTTTTATAAAATGTCTCAAACATATTTGTAAAAATAGCGACTGAAATAGGAGGTTGGGACGGGGATGAGGATAGGGACGGAGAAGCTATCTCCATCCCCACTCCATGAACATCGACTCGGGTCCCCAAGTGTTTGAAAGAACTATTAATAATCAAAAGGATTGAAATTTATTTAGGATGTTATTGTCAAAATTGTGGCTTTTAAATTTCAAAACGAAAGAAGACGCCGAAATGGACTATTTACGTAAGAATATTAACTTTTCACTTACCATTCACATTACAATTTCAAACTATCTTTCTAGAAACGGAGTGGTAAAATTTATCGAATTCCTCCATGTCTCTATCTATCTATATCTATATATATATACTCTCTCTCTCTCTGAGTCACCTAACTGGAAGGCTCGATATTAGATTAGTCAAGCCCTATAGAATAGCCCAGGTCCACCACCGGGAGATATCGTACAATTTGGGCTTTCCTTTCTACAAGTCTACCAAGAAAAGGTTTCCACACTCTTATAAGAAATGTTTTATTCTTCTCTACAATCCACCCCTTTACAAGGAAGTAGACGCATTTTAAAATCTTGAGAGAAAACCCAAAAGGGAATGTCCAAAGAGAACAATATCTACTGGCGGCGGACTTCAGCTGTTACAAATGGCATCAGAGGCAGACACTAGGTGATGTGCCAGTGAGAAGGCTGGCCCCCAATAGGGTGAATTGTGAGATTCCACGTCAATTGGAGAGGGGAACGAATCATTTCTTATAAGGGTGTGGAAATTTTTCCTTATCAAACATGTTTTAAAATCGCGAGGTTTATGACAATTCATAATGGGCCAAAACAGACAATATTTGTTAGTAGTAGGCTTGGGTTATTACATTTCCATTGCACTAACCAGTAAGAACTAGTCTCTAATAAAAAACCCACCTCAAGTTTGCGCAACTTCACTTCAGCTCAGCTCAAATCGACATCACCCAAACTTAAGCATCAAAGAGCATTAGACACAACACAACTTGAACGTGAACTTTTTCTTATTTCTAATCAACATCCCACTTCAGTATCCATGTCAGTGGAGGCTTGCACCCGAATTCTCTCATTGACATTATCATTAAATCTATGGTTGAAAAACATAGATATGTTCGAGATAACCAATAATATGAATTCGTTTTTCCGCTCGGCAATATTGACCCATTGAAAGTATATGTAGAAACGTGTTTTGGTTAGCTTCTTTATAAAATACATAATACCCACAAAAGAAGCATCATTTTCAGCCATGCCTAACTAGTTGACAAAGATAAATACCCAACAACAATTTCAACCCGCCATCCACATTAATCAATAAACCCTAAAAAATGACTTGTTGGGCTACAAGTCATTGTTATTATTATTATTAATTAAACCATAGTGACAAACATATATATATATATATATATATCTTTATATATATAAGTCAAAGGTTTTAGTAATTTTAAGACATAACAAAGCATAAGACAAAGACAATAATGTCTCGTGTTTTGGGATCGAAGAATTGACCAGCCAAAGCTCATACCTCACATGCATTCATTTTGTAATTGTATTTGAATATAATTGATTGATTATAAATTAAGATATTAATGTATACTCTTTTTTATTATATAGTTTTAATCAACCATTTATGTGTATCTTTTGTAGCATCACGCAAACATCAATGTCCATATGTATTTTTTTAACACATATTTCAATTAATTAAATCAATAGTTTAGTGTAAGTGTAGGTTTTTTTTTTTCTTTTTAGCTACAAAATCTATGAACTAATGTTTTTTTTCTTATGGGTAAGCGTGGACTTCAAAAAAAAAATTCTTTTGTTTAGGGTTTAAGTTATTTTTGTTCGAGTTGACTTGAAATTACTAGGAAAGTTAGAAGCAAATGGGTCGTGTGATGCCGGATACATAAATGAGTTGATATCACATCAAAAAGAGAGTGATCGAAGAATATTGTGACACTTGAGTAAATGAGTGATATGTGAATGAACTAAGATCATATTGGAATATGTAACGGTCAAAATCCACTACTAATAGATATTGTATGCTTCGGCCCGTTGCATATCACCATTAGTGTCGTGATTTTAAAACGCATCAAGTAAAGAGAACATGTGAATAAAGACAAAAACATGCTTAAAAGACACGTGTTAGAAATAGTTAATGAGAGTCAAAATCGTTTGTAGTAGCAATAATGATTACTTCTAACTGGCAAGCTAGATGTTGATCACCTAACCTTTCAATGATTCAAAGTTGGTAAAAGGGTGAGAGTTTTAGGCAGGTTGGGCCACCTAAAAGTTGTCACAATTAGCAAACTTCATGTGGAATGTTAAAAACAATAAAGGAAAAAGCAGGCAAATGAGTTCTGGTTAAGGTTGTTGCTTCTTGTTTTCTTGTCGAAATTTAGCAAATGGCCATGTTTTGTCCTGATCAAAATAAAATTATGAAGCTAATGACGATACGTAATGGGTCAAGGCAGATAGTATATGTTAGCGATAGGCTTGGAAGGCAGATAGTATATGTTAGCGATAGGCTTGGACTATTACAAATGGTACCAGAGCCAATCACCAAGTGATGTGCCAACATTCCAAGAACGGGGTGGATTGTGAGATCTCATATTGGTTGGAGAGGGGAACAAACTATTTATTATAAGGATGTGAAAACCTCTCCCTAGAAAACGCGTTTTAAAACCATGAGGCTGACAACGATACGTAACGGGCCAAAGCAGATAATATCTACTAGCGGTGGGTTGCACTGTTACAATTGGTATCAAACCTAATTACCAAGCGGTGTACCAACAAGGACACTGGCTCCCAAAGGGATGGATTGTAAGATCTCACATCGGTTGGAAATGGGAGCGAAACATTTCTTATAAGAATGTAAAAACCTCTTCTTAGAAGACGTGTTTTAAAACCATGAGACTTACGACGATACGTTACGGACCAAAGCGGATTATATCTGCTAGCGGTGGGTTGCGCTGTTACAATTGGCATCAAAGCTAGTTACCAAGCGGTGTGCCAGCGTCGAAGACGCTGGTCCCAAGGGGGATGGATTATGAGATCTCACATCAATTGGAGAGGAGATCGAACATTTATAATAAGGGCATGGAAACATCTCCCTGACAAACACGTTTTAAAACCGTAAAGCTAACAGCAATACATAACGGATCAAAGCGGACTATACCTACTAGCGGTGAGCTTACGATAGTAAACTACAAATTTGCAGTATCCAACACCATATCAGTGTCTATGTAGTAAGCCACTATAACATTTACAAGTCACTAAGTTACTATTCAGTACAAGATAACAGTCTATTCTGATCATTCATTACGTTCATTGGTAATGGCAGAAATGAATAGTAACCTTTAAGAAAAAGAATACAATTCTGATAGATTGTATGAGAACACCTAATCATAAAGGCCATCTTCATGCCAGATATCAACCAAGAAGTCTACCATTTCCTGCACAATCCAATCCAGACAAGTTTCATTAAAGTAATCGAAAGGGAAGGATGAGGATGAGGATGAACAAACAAAACCTTACAGCTAATGGAATAGGCTGCTGAAAGGGCTCTGCAGTCAAAAGAAGATCTTCATAAGTTGTCGTCCAGCTGCAACATGGAACGCATCGTCAATGGCTAAACACTTGGAAACGGTAGCCCAAGAATGGCTTTGAAACTGATGCTTGAAGCTAAATGAATACCTCAAGATTGGTTCCATCGGTGGTGCTCGTTGCACGTTTTCAAAACGGTCGCCTACCCATTCCCTTCTTTGTTCATGCCAAGCTATCTCCGCTGTTCAGAAAACGATGCACAACACGACTTTTACTATGATATTTGATGCGAGGGTGGGAGATTCAAACTTCATTCCTCTTAGTCGATCATATATGTCTTGACCAATATCAAAGAGTATGAGATTCAATCCTAGATTTTAACGATCAGTGGTTTGAACAAAGAAGATTTACCGTGGTTGACAAATGCGGTGGTCTCGTTGGACTTGTCATTAATGGCAACCTTTGAATCAACTGAAGAATGGTTTCCATTTCCATTCAAATTAGGATTTGTATAGCTGATTTCCATTTTCTCCATAATGAACGACCAAACATTGCCTTAAAAGACTGGTCTGTACATGAAACAAAGATAAAGAGTCCCATGAGAAGAATTGATATACGTTTCGGAAACTTTGATGTAGTCCCATTTATGGGTCCATATAATAATACAATATCCCCTCCGGCGTAGGTGTTTTTTAAGGCACAAGGTCTAACATGTAGATGCCTCTAGGATAGGGCCTATGAGCAAAGCACAAAGTAAGGTATGAGCTTGAGTAAGATGAGTTGTATATGCATGTGGTCTAAGAACACTGTAATTTGGGAAGTAACTATCATAATTTGAGGTACTTTAACCCTCTCTCTCTCTCACGAATCCTTTCACTCAAGCCTAAGCCAACTACTAAACCGATGCATACTTGTGAGATCCCACATCGGTTGGAGATGGGAACAAAACATTCCTTATAAGAGTGTGGAACCTCTCTCTCTAGTACATGCGTTTTGAAACCTTGAAGGAACCCCATAAGGGAAAGTCCAAAAAGGACAATATCTGTTAGTGGTGGGCTTAGACTGTTACAAATGGTATCAGAGCCAGACACTGGGTCATGTACTAATGAGGATGATGGGCACTAGGGGGGGTGGATTGTGAGATCCCACATCGGTTGGAGAGGGAAACGAAACATTACTTATAAGAGTGTGGAAACCTCTCCCTAGTAGACGCGTTTCAAAAGCTTGAGGGGAAGGCCATAAGGGAAAGCGCAAAGAAAACAATATCTACTATTGGTGGGCTTGGATTGTTACAAATGATATTAGAGCCAGACACCTACATCTCCCTAGTAGACGCGTTTTAAAACCTTGAGGGGAAGACCAGAAGGGGAAGCCCAAAGAGAACAATATCTACTAGTGGTGGGCTTGGGTTGTTACAATGGTATCAGAGCCAGACACTGGGCAATGTGTCAGCAAGGACGTTGGACCCCAAGAGGGTGGATTGTGAGATCCCACATCGGTTGGAGAGGGGAACAAAACATTCCTTATAAGAGCGTGGAAACCTCTCCTTAGTCGACGCGTTTTAGAACCTTGGGAGGAAACTCAAAAGGGAAAGCCCAAAGAGAACCATAATTACTAGCGGTGGACTTGGGCTGTTATAAATAGTATCAGAGCCAGCCAGCAAGGACGCTAGCCCCAAGGGGTGGATTGTGAAATCTCACATCGGTTGGAGAGGAGAACGAAGCATTCCTTATAAGAGTGTGGAAACATCTCCCTAGTAGACGCGTTTTAAAACTACGAGGCTAACGGCGATAGTAACAAGTCAAAGCGGACAATATCTGCTAGCGGTAAGCTTGGGTATTACAGTACCTTTACCCTTTCCCACGCTCATATAACATATCACCTTACAAACATATCACCTTCATTCCAATCCTTTAACCCATCAACTTTGTCCCTTCGAACATCCCCTCTCCCATGATACTCAAAAGCTTCTTTAGGTCTCATTTTGTTAGATTAGGGAGCCATTTTTGTTTCAGTTTAGCCCCTTTGGTCAGGCTATCTTTTTGTGTACCATTTGTTATCTCTTATTCCTTCTCAATGAATGCTTAGATTCATTGACTCTGGCCGTGTCTATGTTATTTTCAAGGCACTAAATAACTTAAAAGCCACATCCAAAACATTGCACTGAAGCTCTAGCTTGTTAAACACTTTCTTCATTATATACCCAAACAACATTTAACCATTTGAAGAAATCCACAGACCCATCAATGGAATCTCAACCTTAATCTAATCAAACAGTTCAATCTTTCTCAATAAGTTCACAAATCCACGGTTTCCAAATCATCCCCTAACTTTGTTACTTCCCAACCACATTTCAGAACACAAATCACAAGACAAAAACAGCAATCACCATAAAGCAACGATGATTCAGATCACCCAACAATGAAAATTAAAAAAATCCAGAAAGAAAAACACCAACAAAGGTTCCCAAACAAGCAGAAATGGCACGAGAATTTCAGGAAGTAGGGCAGATGGGCAGTACCTTTTAATCCCCAAAAACAGAGTAAACAGTGAACCCTGTAAGGAATCGTCAAGTATGGGGTTGATCTCGAGCGAAATTACCGAAGAAGAAAAGGCCCCCCTCTTCAGCATTCGCCACAGATTAAACCCGAAAGAACGAGAGAAAAGAAAGTGGACTCGGCGCAGATTCTTCTGCACTAAACGGCGAATCACAGTGGCAGTTTCCTTTGATCCAAGGGCCGAAACTGAGCCAGGTGTTGATAGATCTATGGTTGAGGGTTACTGTCAAAAACCCATATGGGACCCCAACATTTGAAGAACAGATCTGGGCTGCAATGGATTTGGGAATCCTGCATTCTGGGTCTCTTGTTTTAATGGCATTTCACTTTTGTATTTTCTGGGGATACGGATTATGTTACCATCTTCTATAGACCGTTCAATATGATACCCCATTAAATAACATCCAATTTATGAAGTTTGGTAATGCTGGGAGGAAACTGGTACAGTCGTACGATCTTCATTCAAGCGCCCATGGAACCAATAATGGAGCCTTCCAGATCTTACCAAAATTAACTCATAAATTCTCTCTTATTTTATTAAAATAAAATAAAAAGTTTAATAATTTATTAGACGTCTTTCAATGTTTGCCGGCATATTAAAAATAAATACTAGCTTAATATCTTTATTTAAATTTGTCGGTAGGACGGTTGCAAAATACAAATTTATTTTCGGTTTGATTGTGTTACAAAACAAAAAATAAGAAGGCGATTATGTCGTTTCAAGTCCAATGATTATAATGTCGTGTCTATCATTTCGAACATGTCTTTTTTTTTTTTTTAATGTCTATATAATATTTTCTAATATAGATTTGATTTTATTATATTTAAGATATATACATGTAACAAAAATTAATCTAATTTTTATTTTATTATTATGCTAATTTTAGCTTTATTGCATATTATATCAATAATATATAAAATATTATTTTATTAATACGTTATCTATCCACTTATAATATGATGTTGATACTAACAATAACGTATTAGCTTCAATTATTAAATGTCTAATAGAAAAATCTCGAGATTTTGAAAATCGATCCCAATTTAATTTCTTAATTTTAAATAACATAATATTTCGTTATGGAGTGAATAGTTCGCCTCTGTCACGCTCAATTTTAGTAAAATTTAATAGTAACATCAGTTTATTAGTAATATTTAAAATTTCCCTAAGGGTAAAATACAATATGGTTGGTGTGTAGCCAAGAGAAAGTGTCGGTAAGACCTAGATTATATATATATATATATATATATATATATATATATTCTTATTATGCTATCCCTATTAATTTATTAATTTTCATTATTAAATTATTATTATGTATATATATATAAATAAAATTAATGGAATTTGAATAAACTTAATATTGATTCTGTTATTTTTATTTTGTTATTATTATTTATTGAAAACTTATTTTAAATGATTTTTAAATTGTCGGCTAGAATGACTCGCATTTTAAATTCTGGGGTTTATCTAATCTTTTAAATTATTTAACATTATTGCTATTTATAATATGGTTATAATATGTAGATTGACTTAGATATGGAATAATAGCAAATTATAAGTGAGATTATCACAATATTATCAAATTTGCATTTATTAAATTATTGAAAACGTCACTCACTACGACTCTTTTAAATTTCTGACAAGTTCTTTTTTTTTTTTTTTTTTTTTGCAAATCCAAATTTAGAAGTAACGAGTTGATTGCCCATATAGTTAAATTTAATGTCTTATTAATTTTTTTAACTAATAAACAGAGCAGTAAAAAATATTGGTACTTTAGTACGTGATAATTTAATTTTTTATATTTTAAAATTGTCAAATTTTATCATTTAAAAGCAGCATTTTTTAAATCTAAACAATAATTTTATTGATAAATTAAATTATTTTAAAATTATAATTACAAAAAAAAAAAAAATTGTTATTTTTATAAAACTAGAATGATATATATGGCCAGAAATCGAATAAGCATTTTGTTTTTTACTATAATAAAAAGAGCATTTTTGTAATTTCTAGAGAGAAAATTACCCCTCCCATTTTCTGACAGCATGGAAATTCATGCACCCGTTCGGATCCAACCTGGCACATTATGACTGGCCGACACTACAGTGCGGTGACTGTCACCGTAAACGTTTGTCAACGCCGTTTAAAACAAGTTAAAAAATTAAAAATTAAAAATTACTTTTTTTTTCCTGACTCAATTATAAAAATATTAAAATTTAATACATTTTATTGAGATGAATTTTATATTGAACAATCTTTTTATAAATTTTATATTTTTGTAATTTCATTTTCAAAATTTAAATCTATAAATAGATTTAAAATTAAAAATTTAAGCTTAAAATTGATTGCTTTTTTGTTAAAATTAATTATAATAAGTTTAGATATAAAATAATCAATATTATGTTAAATTTTAAATTTATTTTTTATGAAAATTTAAAATTTTGTGTTTATAATTTAATGAAACTATGAAAATAGTAATTTTTTTTATTTTTTGTCAAATTATAAAGATTAATTCTTACCTTTAAAATGGACATGATGAAAATAATAATAATAATAATAATAATATTTCCATCATTAAAATCACAGGTGGGGCCCAATCAGGGCACCCCTGGTAGGTCCCACCGTGTTGCATTTTTTCATCAGTAAAAAAAAGGTGGGCCCACCTTATTTTTTTTTTCACTGCCTCGTGACTGCGAGTGAAAGACACGAATTTTTACCCATTTGAATAAAATAAGGTTTAAATAATATTATGGATAATATGTTTTATTTTTAGTTTATTTTAATTTTTACTTTCAAGTATTTATTTATTTATTTTAGTTAATGTAGATTGAAGTTTAATCATTCCATGCTCTCCACAATTTTGGGATTAGAGGAACGAGTGTGTGTCATTTTGTAAACCACGACCTTTAAAATATTTATTATGATAATTCACGTGCATTATTTTTTATTAGACTTTATAGGTATTTATAAAGCGTTATCCAATAATAGAAATCAACACTTATTCGATCTTAAGTATTACGTACATAAATTTTAGCGAGAATTATATACTTTTTGGTAGATATCATTACAGCCATTCTTTTAAGTCATGTCAATATTACAGTTTCCATATTTTGATGAATTCTAGATTACAGTCTATATTATCAAATTCAAACATAATTTCATAGACAATTTAAAATTAATTGTATTAAAAAAAAAAAAGATTACTTTCTAGACAGAGAAGAAATGACATTAAAGACAAAGCTCGTCTCCACTCCTTTTCAACAGAGTTACATGTTTTGTCATTAAAGTTCGGGAAAGATGGTGGTTGAGATGTGGAAGGATATAGATCTTCTTCCATTCTTGTCACATACCATGCTTTCGATTTGATATTTAACATCACGTACACTTTTAACCATGTCACATGCATTTTTCTGGGACATCGTTATGTTGTTGCTTACTTTTTGTTTCTATAGACCAACCTGAGTCTTCCAACATGATTTGTCCTCGCTCACTCACTCACGGTTAACCTTGTTGGTATATGTAATAACTTTCTGTTCTTTTAAACCTCTGTTAGCCATTTTATCTTCGTGATAACTCTCATTCAGATGTAGTATTCGGTTCATTCACGTACACATCTTATCCTCGAAAGTACAATGAAATTTGCATGTTTTTGGTTCTCAAACCGACGAGCTTGTTTACGTAGATATCTTTAAACCCATTTCAATATTCTTTTTTGAATCGATATAATATTCCTCGATTTTTAAAATTTTTTCTCTAATAAGCTAACACAAATAGCTTGGTTACAAATTAAAAAAATAAATATACATCACTTATTTGCATAATATTTCTCTAATATTCATATCCCATTAATTGCATTTCAATACTTGGCTGAAATTTAACGATGATTAAAGAATTTTTGAATAATGAGAATATTAATTTTTTTTTTCACTTTTTTCTTTCATATTTGTAAATAAAATAAAATTAAAATTAACAATGGGTCCATCCCAAAGAGCCAAATGGCCTATTTAATATCCCATTCGCTATTTCATTTCCACTCCAACGCTACCAACGACAGCGCCTTCTTCCACCTCCACTCCGATGGCCTTCTTCTTCTTCTTCCTCCTCCTCCTCCTCCACCCCGCCACCTCCTCCTCCGCCGCCGCCGACCGCCCCCCCTCCCCCGGCTACTGGCCGAGCACCCGCTTCCACCCCATGGAATTCTACCGAAGCTTTCGCAACCTCTGGGGCCCTCAACACCAAGGCTTGAACCAAAATACACTCTCCATTTGGCTCGATCGCTTTACTGGCAGCGGCTTCAAATCCCTCCGCCCTTTCCGATCCGGATACTTCGGCGCCTCCATCAAACTCCAACCAGGCTACACCGCCGGCGTCATCACCGCCTTCTACGTAAGTTCCAACCTCTGTAATTTCAATTTCAAATTCTCCCGTTCAATGCTCTGTAACCCATATCTGAAATTAATGGCAGCTTTCCAACAACGAAGCCCACCCCGGATTCCACGACGAAGTCGACATCGAATTCTTGGGAACGACATTAGGAAAGCCTTACACATTACAGACAAACATTTACATCAGAGGAAGCGGCGACGGTCAAATCATTGGCAGAGAGATGAAATTCCATCTCTGGTTCGACCCCACCACCGATTTTCACCATTACGCCATTCTCTGGCACCCAAAGGAAATCATGTACGCTAATTAACCAACCCATCATTCAATTTCACAATTAATCCATCTGGGCTCTGTTTTAATCACTCTGTTTTTGCTCGCTTCCTCTGTTTTGTCCTGTTTATAGATTTCTTGTTGACGACATACCCATAAGGAGATATCCAAGGAAGAGCGCTACGACATTCCCACTACGACCAATGTGGCTTTACGGTTCGATTTGGGATGCATCTTCATGGGCAACGGAGGATGGAAAATACAGAGCTGATTACAGTTACCAGCCATTTGTGGCTGAGTTCACTAATTTCAAAGCAGGGGGTTGTTCGGCATACTCTCCGGCACGGTGCTGGCCGGTGTCTGCGTCGCCGTTCCGATCAGGGGGGTTGACAAGGCAACAGCAAAACGCGATGAAATGGGTGCAGAGCAATCACTTGGTTTATAACTATTGTTCGGATAACGAGAGAGACCATTCTTTAACACCAGAGTGCTGGCAATAGAAAAGTTGGGTATTACTGTTGATTTCCCCATGCACTGAAAAAAAAAAAAAAAAAAAAAACTCCATGAATTTCATGTTGTGCTTTTTTTTTTTTTAAATAAAAAAAAAATTGTGTGTATTTTATTTTTTTATAATGGAGGTGTGTAATATATTATGAGTTTTAGGTTATTTTTATTGTAATTTCATCAAGTGAAATTCACCTTTTATTATCATATTTTCCATTAATTATTAAAATATTACTCGAACATATATATTCTTGATAAATAGGTCAAAAGTTCGAATTTTTACTCTCGTTGAAATGACATTTATATATATATAAAAAAAAATGGTAAAAGCATTTATTCTTTACTTTTATAAGAATTTGTTCTTCTTTTTAAAATGACATTGTGATGTTTTGACGTTAAAGACCCTTTTCGATATCATATTAAACTATCGCTAATGTAAAATTTGTAAATCGATGAAACGTGTGACGTACGTTTAATCTTGTAAGTACATTCTTAACATGTAAGCTAAGCTAGATAAGTTCAAGATATAACCATATGAACCCGTATTTTCAAATCAAAATATATTCGGAATGGTCGTCATGTAAAAATTAGCAAGAAATGGAAGAGACGAGGATCTAACCCTACTTTTAAAAAAATTTAAAAATATTAACGTTTGTAATCTATGTTAGTGATGAATTATGACCTATAAATATTTTATATTTAAATTTTACGAGATTTTAGTTATTAAAGTAAAAAATTAGCATTTAAATTTGTAAGAACAATTAAATATAAGATTATATAATAAAAGCTGGTTAGAGTGTGAAGGTCGCGGTTTCGAAACCTAGTTGGGTCTAGTGTATTACTTTTTAATTTTTAATTTTTAATTCATTATTCATCGTTTGTTTATTGACGATTTTGATTTTGATTTCCTTTCAGTCGGATTAATTCAGATTCATCAAAGGGTCCGCCAGTGCGTCCCAGTTGCGATCGTCTTCTTCAATTTGTTGCCGAATCGGTTCGAAAATGGTAAAACCCTCAATTTCTGGCGATTGGTAGCTAGAATGTTTCTTTTACGCTTGTTTTTCGTTTGAATAGGTTTGCTTGGCGTGTTTATTGCCTCTGTTTCTCATTCCAGTCGTCAACGCGCTGCCTGTTCTATTCCACTTGATTATGGTACGCCAATATGATTCGTTTCTCTCTAGGATCTCATCTTTTTGCCTGTTCATCAAATTCTCTTAACGATTTTCGGTTTTCTTTACTATTGAAGACTATTTTGTTCCATATTATATATATATTTTTTTGTTTTTCTTCAATTTCCTTTTAGGGCAAAATTTATAGAATTTTTGGCTGGGAATATAGAAAACCACAGAGGGTACCTCCAGCTTGTCCCTATCGCCCTGCTGCCAAACAAAATAGCAATGTAAGTGTTCTGCTATCGCTTTTATAATGTAATTCTGTTTTCTAATTGTCTTCTGAAGAAGTCGTTTTAATAAGTTGGGCATGTTGAAGAATTATGAATGGGATTGAATTTTGGTTTAGAAATTGGATATAAATGATGCGTTCCTGTTATGGAGACGCTTAAACTTTGATCAATAAATCTTCTTGGTGGCTGAATGCTGTTCGTTGCTACGATAGTTTTAAAAAACAATGATGGGAGTTTAGGCACCTGCTGTATGAATTTATTAATTGTTTTCTCAAGATGCCATTTCAATAGTTTGAGCATACTGATGATCTTTTACAGGGTTGTGCTTCATTACTTGTGATTACTTATTCGATTCTTGTTCTTGTTCATGTTTTTTTGTTTTCCTTGGGGGTTGGAGGGGAGGGGGGGTATTTTCTTCATGTTGATTGGATGCTTTTTGCTTCAGTAGTTTTCTAAACCAATTAAGTATCTTCTATCCAATTGTGATTTTGTGCAATGGGTAGTATTCATAAATGATATGCATGTTTGAAATGACATTAGCTCTAGTTCATAAATTTTAAATCATAATGTTGATTCCATACTTGTGGTCACTATGTTTCCATGGTTGGGTAGTTTTAAACGAGTAATGATCACTTGAACAGGTTCAACTTTATGGGTCATAAATCTGTGTCCTCAAGTTCTTAGGAAGTTTTTGGAAAAGAGTACAAGAGACAATGTTTTAGAACGTTTTTTGAGGCTCGTGCCTCGAGGCTTGCCTCGTGGCAATTTTCTAATTTTGTCTGGCTCCGTCGTGAGAAATTACTCAAGCCATAAGCCACTAAACAATTGTCTGGCTCCCTCCTTCTCCACTCCCTCTATTTATAACCAAATAGCTTAACAAACTCCCTTACTAAATATTTATATGCCCTTAACACTCCAATAATACTTCTAATAGTATTTTGATCAGATTTGTATAACTTTTTAACTTGAAACCAAGTCTGACGCCTCACCTCTCCAACAAGAAGCTAAAAGCTTCAACACTGCTTTAGCCTTTTAAAATATTGGCAAAGGGTTTTAGGATCTGCAGGAATCGCTGTTTCTTAGTTTTGAAACGAATAAATTAATGGCTTCTTTTAAATTTGATGGCATTCATTGATTTTTCTTCCCCGCCAATTTTCTCTACCTTAAACTGAAAAAGATATAATGGTCCAAAATCATTATGCATTATGTATACACTCAAGCTACAGAAGACATTGCATACAACCCTGAGAATAAGGATATAACAATGTGTTCTCATTCTGGTGTTGTGAGATTCCACATCGGTTGGAGAGGGGAACGGAACATTCCTTATAAGGGTATAGAAACCTCTCCCTAGCAGACGCGTTTAAAAACTGTGAGGCTGACGACGATACGTAATAGCCTGAAACGGTCAATATCTGCTAGTGGTAGGTTTAGACTATTACAGGTGTAAAACAAGATGTTCATTTATATTTGTTTGTATTTTGGTATTTTCGTATGTCAGAGTTCTTAACAGCAGATATGTGGGTGTTCAACACTACACATCCTCTAGTGGTTTAAATTCTTAACGTCTGCTCCTCTGGCTTCTTGAAGCAAGCTTTTTCTGAATCTTAACAGGAGGAGTTACAACCTCTAGCTGGTCAGCAGCACCCACCTCCAAAAGCCGTTGATGCGGAGGATGCAAAGCAAGACTGAATTTGGAGACTTCTGTCGTACATACATGTCAACAAGACCAGCAGATCTCTGTGGCCCTGAAAGCAGTGGACGCTGTCGATGTCAATTAAAGGAAGCTATGACTTCAATCGGTCAGATAAAAGAATATCTTAAACTCTCATCACTAATACCCATCAATACAGTTCATTTTGTCAGTGCATACTTTCTGAATAATTTAGCTGGATGGCTGGAATATGTTTCCTGGTTTGTAGTTAATCAATGCTTGTGGAATCTCTGGTAAGAAACAGATGAAATTGGCGTAGACAATGGTTTAATTCACTGCTGCCTTAACTTTTTTGTTCCCAAAAGAACTTTTAACTTCCTTGTCTGCCTTACGTTGTGAAGTTCTTGGAGCAAGCTTACTAAGATTGTGTTGCCTCTGTCCTTTAAATGTGCGCATGGCCCATTGACGAATTATGTTCACCATTCTAATATCTGACAAAATTTGGCCTTTGGATTCCAGAATAGGAAAGGAAACAGGTGTTTTAACTATAGTGGGGACAAATACTTGAATAGCATATTGTTCTAAGCTTCTAGCCAGCTGTAGAAGTAGAAATCAAGTGGTGAAAGTGAAACTTCTGTAATGAAGGAAGTTGGAAGCATGGCTGCATGACAAATCATGATAAGAGGTAATTGGATCTTATCTTCTTAACTGCACTATGAAATGAATTATGACATGTCTCTCGGGCTTTCTGGGATCTGGTCTCGGCCTCGGCCTCATTTAGTTAGTGGGTAGACATTTTTCTCGTTCCCTCCCTCATTCTTCATTTAAATGGGAATTCTCTGCCTCATTTAGAGCAGGTCTCCACAAGCTAAATGAACATTGTCGTGTTCATGATACTTTCATGGATTTGTTCTAGGGTATTGTTTTGTTTCATACCGTGGAACTTATGTTGAATTATGAAATGTCTCTCGGGCTCTCTGGGATTTGGTCTCGGCCTCGTTTAGTTAGTGGGCAAACATCTTTCTCGTTCCCACTTTTAATACCCTCCATTTTTCCACTTCTTTCTAGACCTAGAAAAAGAAGCTTCAATTCAAGATCCTTTCATTTCCTTTATACCCAAATTATGGACCATTTTCAATATTCTACCATACAACTTTGAATTTTGCATTCAATTATTCAACATCTTCAAAATCAAATCCCACCTTTTCAACGTGTCCGAACATATGTCGTCGATTAATTTACTAACACGAGTTTGTTGTTTACACATGAGATTCAACTCTTTTTGTGTTGTCTCTCAAATTAGTAAATTTGATTTGTTGACATATAATTAATCTCATTTCTACTAATACTCGGACATCATCTTTAGGATTTGTGAAAGGTCAGTTTTGTTAATTGTACTGGTTTCCGAGCTTGAGATTTGTCTAATAGATCTTTGACCCGTTATTTATTTATTTTTAAATGGATGAATTGAAAACAAAATTGAGCACCTTTTGGGATAGCACTTGGCCAAGTGGTGGTGAGGAAAGCAACCTTTTAGATTCAAATTAGAGCCACAAGAGCCTCATTTTCTTGGTCTATCTTTTTCTCCCAAGTGGATACCCTCTAAAAGCATCTATCTTACCCCTAAATACAAAACATATACACATATTTGAATATTCAAAGTACATATGGTATAAAGCTCTAATAAAGTTGGACCCATCTCGAATTTTAATCTCATATCAAAATATATACGTCACACCCACATCAATTTGCATTCAGGGTTGCAATCTCAAAATGTTTTTATAATCTCGAGTATAATAAATAGATCAAAATGATCCAAGGAAAAAGAAAACGGGATTAAGCCCCTTTGATCTACACGAAATGACTTTTGAGTTTAGGAAGAGGCATCTTCCATTCAAACCTCTTTGTGACGATAACGACACGCATAGATAGAGAGATCGTGGACAACCATGTTTGAGCACTGATCAACTCATTA